CGCGGGCGCCGGACAAGCCGTGCTGCCCGGAGCTGGCCGGCATGGTGGGCTCCAACCCCGTCTGCCTCTGCGAGCTCCTCTCCGGGGCCGCCGACTCCCTGGGCATCGCCGTCGACTACGCCCGCGCGCTCGCGCTCCCCGGCGTCTGCCGCGTCGCCACCCCGCCCATCACCACCTGCGCAGGTAATAAACTAACTCGAGCCCTTCTGCTGCAGGTTGCCGCTGGATTTGCTGCTCTATGGGTCTCTCTTGAGGTGGATTTGATTTGTATGGATGTTTTTCTTGCAGCAATGGGCTACAATGTTCGTCTGGGCCCATCTCCGGCGCCCGCGCCGGGATCTCCCTCGCCCATGTCGCCCAGCGGCAGCCCACAGTACCCTGCTGGTAAGCGCCGCCGCATGCAGTAGTAGAATTTCAGTTGGGGGTTCAGTTTAATAATTCTTTCTGGCTGCCCAAGAGTCAAAGACCAAGATCAAGGATTAATGCAAGAAATTGATGGTACTAGGTAGTAGCATTAGTTAAATATGTAAATAAAAAAGAAGCGAAAAACAGAAGTAATGCTAAAACATTCAGTGCTCAGTGGCCATACCTATGCTCGTAGGTACAGAGTACAGACACACAGTCATACACACAGTTCCAGTTCACGTGCTTGTCATCACGTAGGAGTACTAGCTAGTGCCATGGAGCCGAGTACCGTAGTGGTATAGTAGTCGTACAACTAATACTATATGCCATCTCAATCGCAGGTCCTTCGCCGTTCGCCTCGCCGCCGGAGTCGCCCAAGCCCAGCCACGCGGCGCGCCGCATCCACGCCGCCGGCGTCCTCGCCGCCCTCGCCGCCTCCTTCGCCGTCGGGATGGCGCTCTTCTAGGAGGGCAAGGCCAGCGAGCGAGACTGTTAACCGTTCGATAAAAATCTGTCGCGTGAATGTCATGGACATGCGTTCTCCGTCTCTAGTCTGTGCGTTAGTACTCCAGTATGATGATTCTAGGTAGATAATACAGTACCAGTTATTTCCCGCCAATATGTTACTGTGTGTGCTAATCAATTGATCTGTCGCTCACTGATAAACTCGTTCGTGACGTGAAGTGTTGCAACTCTCAATAACATTGGCGTGTGCGCATGCGCCCTCATAGCTTCCTCGTGACACCCGAACAAACATCCATCAGTCGCATCAACTAAGCGTGCTCCCGTCCGGTTGCCATGCTCCGTTACAACACGAAATTCCTTCCAATTTCCTACTAACACACTAGTAGTATGAGTGTGTTCATATCGCAAAGTCAGGCACGGCAGCAACCGTAAAGGCATCCCTCCATTTGTAAATGTAAGTCTTTTTAGAGATTCCAATGCGTATGTACATCCGTACATCTGTTTAATAGCTGAACCGCACCGGAAAAAAGTGGATCAACCCTCCTCTGCCGCTCCCGCGGGCGACAGGGGAGGCCTCCCGCCGCTGCAGGTTCCCGTCCCCCCTTTTCCTTCAGTCCCCTCGCCGTCGCCCAGGCGCGTCGGCCAGCGAAGCCTGCCTGGCGTGGGCGGCGGCGGGACGCCTCTCCCCTTCGTCGTTTGGCTGGCACGGGACGGCCAGATCGATGGAAAGCGCTGGGCTAGCGTGGGGCACGGCGGTTGGCAGCGGGCGCTCCTGCCGGCGGCGTGCGGTCGTCCTTTTTAGAGATTCCAATGCGTATGTACATCCGTACATCTGTTTAATAGCTGAACCGCACCGAAAAAAGTGGATCAACCCTTCTCTGCCGCTCCCGTGGGCGACATCGGAGGCCTCCCGCCGCCGGCGGTTCCCGTCCCCCCTTTTCCTCCAGTCCCCTCGCCGCCGCCCAGGCGCGCCGGCCGGCGAAGCCTGCCTGGTGTGGGCGGCGGCTGGACGCCTCTCCCCTTCGTCGTTTGGCTGGCACAGGACGGCCAGATCGATGGAAGGCGCTGGGCTAGCGTGGGGCACGGCGGCGTGGCAGCGGGCGCTCCTGGCGGCGGCGTGCGGTTGGCGCGATGACGCTATGAGAATAATTAATAAAGTGGTCGTATGCATCGCCCAGATGCAGAGGGTCCTCCTCCTTTTCTAAAAAAAATGTAGTCTTTATTGAAAAAGACTTGTATTCAGGAACGGAGGGGGTTCTTAGTAGGAATTTCCACGTTTGGGGGCGATGAAGCATTGAATTGAAAGGTGGTTGGTTGCGAGGATTGGAGTGCTCGATACTTTCTGCAAGCGATTGCAATGAATGAAAGGCATCACCAGCCAGCTGCAGCAGTTCCGTGCAAACCGCCTCTTCTTCAGCATCATCACACCACGGGCAAGCGTCCAACGACATTCTCTTCTGTGCACATGACATGAATGATTCAGTTCGTTGTAATAGTAGCACAGTAGTACAAAAAATGAGCACAAAACCAAAGGAATCGGAGATGTTCGTCAAATTCAGGGTAACACGTGTCGGTGCTACATATATATACCCGTACAGCACAAGAGTGAGAAAAGAGATTACAGTCCCTACAGTCTTCTACAGACAAAAATGGCACCACAAGCTCATGAAATCTGCCATGGACCAACTCTAACAACGAACTCATCTCTGCCTGCCTAGCACAAACCACGAACACTAATCAACAGGGTCTGTCCTCTGATACTATCTAGACATTCATCAATAAATAAACACTGGTAGCCAGGAACCAACTTGTCATCAGGGAGTAGCAAGAAACTGGTACCATCTGGACGACCAAACCTCGTGGGATACCAGCTCAGTTCGACCCGCCATTGCTGCTCCTGCATGAACCCCAACTTCAGCAACAAGCGGCGTTCCAAGGATTCCATTCCAGCACTAACACACGTTGCAGCTCCTTCTACAGTGACCGGGCAGCGCCGTGGTTCCCACCATGTACGCCGGGTTCTTTGTGCACTCTCCCAGCGCCGCCCACTGCGAGCAGCTGTTGTTGTTGTCCGTGCAGTTGCCTGGTGTGTGATAGACCTTGTCGAACGAGGCCACGCGGATCCATTTCGTGGCCGACCACTTCTCCCCCTTGATGACCTCGCATCCGCCATGGAGGCTCGACGGGTCTGTCTCGGCGTCCGGCCGAAGGTTGAAGAACAGAAGGGCGTCCCCTTTTCGTGGTTTCACTAAGGAACAACGATGGATACAGGTGCATGTCAGTCAAGAAATGTTTCGGGTGTCTAATTAATAACTCGCGAATTAGGACCGCCAAAAAGGAAAAGAGCATGAAAATTATACCTGCAATTCCTTTCTGTGCACATTCTGACAAATCTTTATGGTGTGATCCTTTACGTGCCTGTTTGACAAATGAATAGGCATACCTAGGAATAAGTACAGGAGTCATCGCAAAAATAAAAGAACACTACGGTGCTAATGGCTACTTGTGACTGGCTCAGACGACAAATCAGCAATCTGACACATTTTCTATCTTATTGAGCACCACCACTGTGAAGAAAGAAAATTTACCTTGGCTAAGGGGAAAACAGTTTCCCCTCCTTCTGCAACGTCGGTCAAGTACAAAAGTACAGTAGCTACACGATGTCCACCACGGATAGTGTTAACACTGTCGGTGAAGAAATCATAGTGCGGTTCATACTTCTCACCGCGCTTATACCTTAGAACTTGCATATCTTCACCGTTCTCTGGTCATTTTATAGCACTTATAAGCAAAACTAAAAACAGTAAGACTCTCAGACCCTTTGAAGTTCAACTTTCTACCATACACATAAAATTGGAAGATATAAACAGAAGTGCAGCAAGCAAACAACCCTGAAAAATCCTCTTTATCAAGCCAAGGATTTTTATGACATGACATTCAAAGTCCAAACTAATGCTAATGCTCAACAGCAAAAAGAAGAGGAAGGTTTAAGCTTCCAAATTAGGCCATATAAAGGTCGTTTCACGGTGCTGTAGTGCATTGGGTTTGAGTGTTTGACACCACAACAGATACATGATATGTCGAAGTAACAACACGTAGCTGTTCTACAGGTTCTCAAGTCAAATGTGGACATGATCAAAGAGGATAAGACACCATGGCTCCTAACCCTTTGCATTGAAAACTTGTGCAGAGCACAAAATACAATTAGGAAAACAATGGAAATGGTGAACATAGTGTGTGACATGTTATTGTAGTTTGAGCATAGAATTTGGCCAGCTAGTAGAATGTACCACCGTAGGGTAACTAGGACAGACAGTATGATGTTTTAGCTCTTTTTCTACACCTTGAGCTACTAGATACACTTGTGTCTCCGTGTGAAACGGCTTTATACTTCATACTCTTTTCTTAACTTTTTTAGGGAACTCCTTTCCTAACTTGATGGAAAGGCAAAAGTTCTACCTCTTTCGGATTTATTTTTTATGTTTCAATGAAGATCTGTCCACAGTTTGGTTAGGTCCGCTGGACTGGATTGTAACCGGCTAACAAAGGTGCTCCCCTATCAAACTCAAATACAATTGACAAATGAAACATATTTTTATTCTCTACAACTGCAATAATAAGCACCCCCGAAATGCATGAATAGAAAAGTGCAATGTTATTGTCTCACAACCTTTTGGAAGAAATGTCCATGCGGCAATTTTATCCTCTATACCAGCAACAATTGGATCCTGCAAGTTTGGACACGATTGATCATTTAGATGAAAAAAAAATGTAAGCAACAAAAATACCTGAACTGTACTGTACTAATGTACCCCAGCTATGGCTAGTCACTAAATAAAGAAGATATTGTTGCCTTGAGAAATAAAAGAACATGAAGAGTACATATATAGAGAGTGCCCTATAAGAGAGTACATATGACATGAGTAATTGCTATGGAACATGAAAATTGTACTGCATAAGATGCTGAGCTCAAATGTCAGATGAAACATGCAAGAGAGATGATCAATCCATGGAATTTTCTTTTCTAAAATAATGCCTATGAGCTGAAAAGCAAATGGCCAACCTGGCCCTTGCTGATGAAGGTGCCGGAGCTGGTGCGGACCTCGCTGAGCTTGCTCTTGCCCGACGTTTCATCGGCGACCGCCGACCTCTTGAGCTCCGCCCTCGCCTAAACAAGAAGGAGAAGCCCAGAATCAGATACACCCCCCACAGCAAGAGCTCTCTGGTTTCAATGGGGACTGGGAGCAGCGGGAGAAGCACTGACGAGGGAGACGAGGTGGTTGGCCTCGTCGTCGGTGAGGAAGTGCGGGTAGAGGAAGGCCCTGCGGACGCCATGAAGCACGTATCAGCCGTCTGGTTCGACGACCCCGCCCAAATCGAGATCGGAGGCGAGATGAAGCAAGGCGAGCGTAGGGGCGGTCGGAAAAAAATCGGCTGACCTGGGATACCAGGAGATCTGTCTGGAGTGGTGCGGGTAGACGACGGGGGCCGGGTACACGGAGCTTCCCCTGCCGCCGCCGCCCCCGGCAGCGCCGCGGCGGCCGACTAGGAGGAGGAGGACCGAGAGGAGGGACAGAGCGGAGCCGGGAAAGGGAGCCCACGCCCGAGGCCGCGCCATCGCGATTAAGCCGACGCTCTCCCTCGCTGTCTAGCCGACGCGGGCGACCAATGGAGGTGGAGAAGAGGCCGCGGCGCGTGGCGGAGAGCGGAGATGCGGCGACGGCGGCGAGGTGGAGCCTGGGAGTGGTCGCCAGTCGCCACGCTTCAGGTTCAGGGGAATGGAGGGAGTGGGCGACTGGGCTGCGGGACGGGAGAGATCTGCGCCGCTCACGTGGCAGGATCCGTCGATCCGACGGTCCTCACGCAGCGAAGAAACGTGCGCGCACACCGGGCGAAATCACCAAGGGCACCGACCGCCAAACGTGCCGCGCGCCTGGCAGAAAGAGATGTCGTGTTCCACCGGCCCCGTGGAGTTTTTATTTAGTGTTAAAAGTCTGCATCAAATCTTTGATGTTATAGTGATAGCTTTGAGTTGAACATCGACTTTCTAACTAGAAAAACCCTTTCTGATCTTTGAAATCAGCGCCTCAGCCTCGTCCGGTCGTTTGATGAAATAATTGTGCTCCAAAGTCGGGGTCGACGACGTGGGGAGAGCACTGGACACCGTCGTCGTGGCCATAACCGTCGATTTGAAGTAACTGGCAAGGTTTTGTTGTAAGATTGAACGTGATGCCTATCCAGACTCTGTATTTAAAGCCATCCGATTCAACATCGTATGATGTTTTCACAAGAGTGTCGAGTCTAGGGCTCCAATCCGGATGGGTTGGTTTCACCACAAGGAAGCTAGCCACTATATTAGGATTAGCTTATGTATTCCTATACTACCTGTAGACCTGATTTTCAGGTTAAAACGCCCGTTTGATTTATGAAGTCTTGTGTTTTGTTGAATTAATTTAAATCGCAAGCAGCTTTTATGGCATAGGTAGTGATGCGATGGTTTTTGGTCAAAACAAAAAAGATGTGATGAAACACAAATTGCGGATATAATATTTCTGAACTCAAATCCTTTATCATTCGACATCATCTTTTTTTCCGGCTTACAGGCCATGAACCAAGTTCAAGAATTATATTCTCTTCGAAAAGAAACATGTGTAGTTTATTTGGGTTTTTTCCTCTACTTTCATTGGAGCAAAGCTTTCCTCAAATACTAACTAAGAACAGCAGACACGCAACGGCAACAGATGCAATTGACTGAATCAGATCACGAACATAAAATGCACAGAAAAAAGCAATAATATGAATAGCACCCACAAGAAATGACCATCATGCTGATCTTGTGTTCATTCACAAAATGGAAAATCAAGATGAGAAAAGAATATACTGTACATTTTGATCAGATCCTTGTTTTACTGCAACAAAAAATTTTTTGCGAGTAAATTCATTGTATTACTCAAATCACAGTGTCCACACAATTAGCACCGGCTAGCTCTAAAGAATCTGACAGATCAGAACCAAACCAGGTCATAGTTCTGCCCTAAATCCTAGCAAATTTAGCTAAGCTCAACCTTGCGGTTATCACAATATCGCGTGAAATACTTGCCAAGTCTCTAATTTGAATTTCAAGCCATCCGACTCAAGACCGCATAACATGATGTTTTTCGCACGAATATATTCTTACAATATTTGTAGACCCAATTTTCAGGTTAAAACTCCTCTTTGACTTATGAATTTTTCTGTTTGTTGCCTGAATTTAACGGTTTCATATAGAAGAAACCATATGGGTTGAAGCACCCTAGCTGCTTGTGTGGTTTTATGTATAAATTCACAAGTGGCTTTTATGGCATGGGTAGTAATGCATATGTTCTTTCGTTAAAACAGAAAGATGTGGTTGAACACGAATTGTGGGAATAATTATTCCTGAACTCAAATCCTTTTAGCATTCTGCATCATCTATTTTTCGGCTTACCAGGTCATGAACCTAGTTCAAGAATTATGTACTTCCTCTTTGAAAAGAAACATGTGTACTTTATTTGGTGTTTTCTCTCTACTTTAACCGAATGAGATCACAAACACAAAGCAAGGAAAAAAAGAAAGAATAAGAATAGTACTCACAAGAAATTACCATCACACTGGTCTTGTGTATCAAGATGAGAAAGAATGTATTGTACAGTTTGATTGGATGCCTTCTTTCAGTACAACTTTGCTCCAGGCAAAACTTAAGCTTGACACATCTACAACTACAGTGGTTTGTAAGACAAAACTTGCAAAACTGTGCAGAGGCTTCCCTGCTCTACCCGAACCAACAAAAAGAATATCGTGGAAATTTCTGAGGTATATAACCTAATCACTTGCCATTTGAAAACTACATGTGATTACATTTACTGTACAACATAATAATCACCTTTCTCTTTGTGAGAAAACAATTTGCTGGAAACAGATACCAAGCGGCAGCCGCAGAAAGTTTCCTCGGCACCTTCCTCCATGAGTGGCATGACATGAGCCGATTTATTTTGTGGTTTTGGTCCCAGCACCTGCAGTGTTATGATCATACTTATTAACTTGTCTATGCATATACTGGAGTTTCCATTGCTTTACGTAAACTTTCGTAGGCGCGATTTATTTTGCACAGATTAACTGAAAAGAAAGAAGGTGCACACCTTTGGTAACCTTATTCTTACTCGTCGGTAAGAGCTCTTCAGCACCAATTCTAATATTAGTGTTAGATGTGCGCCTCTTTGATTTGCCGTCCAGCAAATACACTTCCACAGTGAATGATCCACAGACAGGACGATGGTCAGAGAATTTAGACTCCCCACGGAAGTAGGATGACTGCGCAATCCCATCTCCATGCCATAGTATTCTATCACACCTGGACAAGTTGAACTACTTAGCGTACACGAATTGATAACTCATTAATAGTTCATTGTATAATTAGGTCTTAAATTGCAAAACAAAAAGATACATCGACTTAATTGTAGACTCAGATTTTTAAACCTCTTTTTGGTAAGTTATATGATGATGTGAATAGTTCTATTGTTTTTGCTTCCACAACTTTAACCAATGTGCTTGTGCTAATATACCTGGTTTCATCTCAAGAGAACAAACTATGTCTAAGCTTCTTCTGGCACACAAAGATGGGCATGCATGATTACTCAAGTCGTACACAGGTGTATATATAACTTGTGGTCATACCGTCATAATTAATTTTTAATACTACTGAAGGTTGTCAGACCTGCTAAAGTAGGAGTTATTTGTAACATAAAATGGATTAATATGAACAAGATAAATACCAGGCTGGGGTTCTCCTCTTTTTCTTTGAGGTTGCAGTTTCTCCAGAATAAGAATCTGAGTTAAAAGTGTACTTGTATGTGGGAGCAAAATATATCTTCTCTTCGCTCCAACCCCTGAATACCCTTCCAGAATTGCGCTCAGTGTTAAGCTGAAAATGAAAATTCTACAAAGTCAAGTCTTTTCTCATTCCATTACTTTACTTGTTTAGTTCCTCGTTGGGGAAATTGAGTTGCGCTCAACTAATTACAAAAAAATGGGCGCCATTTTTTTAGGTGCTTACTTGATCCTTTTGAAAAAGGGCATCCCAGTTATTTTCAGTCAGAAGTTTCTTGGTATCTTCATAGCTCAGGGAAATACGGTAGTTCAGATCCCCCAACCATATCACCCGGCTAAAACAAATAGCACAATAATCAGATAACAGCACAATAAAATAAAAGCTTTAAAATAATTGTAGCATTAGTATCTTACTCATGGTCAATAATTTTTTCAGGGATTCTTTGCCCAGCTCTTCTGCAAATTCTTGGAAACTGCGTGGCCCTCAGTATCTCTAAAACATCTGAGTTGCGCCGCAACTCATCGCCTTCTTTCTCACCTGAAGCCAAATGGCTACAGATGAAACAAAAGCTTGTCTGGTGCAGTGTCATGCTCACTGATATACATCCCTGAAGCCAAAAAGTAAGTGCAAGGCATAAAAGAATTAAGGGATCTACCATTTAGGATGCTTCAGAGTTTTTTCCAGTTCTGTTTTTTCTGGCGGAGTTGTTATTGTTGTAGCCAAATGTTGAATCCGATAAAGAACATGATACGAGAAACAGAGCATGAGCATAGTACTACATAATTGTCTTTGTTAATGTCTTTGCGACTATCATAACATTTTATCTCGCATCTTTAGTTCCATAAAAATTTAGGGCATGCTACACCTTGCATAATCAAAAGGAATTACTTGAATACAGATTCAGTTCTAACCTTGTTTCCAAGATAACCCATTACTCCACGGCCTACACATGATGTCCTCACATGACCGATATGCGGCACTAGTTCTTTCTTTGCCCATACTGTGACAAAAATACCAACCATTCGTTTGCAAGATACGAGGTTATATTTTAGCTGATCACTAGAGGCAGAAGCGGACGAAATCACTCCATCAACCACATAACCAGAAGCATTATTTGATCTGTCATCAACTTCATCTTCTTCCGAAGAGTCGGTCTCATTAATGTATGCTTGTGGGCATCCAAAGCAAGCATCTTTGTAGGATTTCCTGGGCATTTCAACTGAGCAGTTGCAGATCTTGAGCAGTTTTCTCTGAGTTGGCATGTAAGGCTTCCTGATAGATTTTAAGGAGGACTGGAAGATTGCAGAACCAGAGCGGTTGGAGAAAGAAGCATCAAGGTTCGATGAAGATCGAGAAGAGGTTGAATCAAGGGATAGAGATGGCTTGTGACAGAAAATATCAGCATCCCCGTCAATTGTTCTGTTTAGCGTGCGGTTTATAAGAGCAAGCCATCTTGCAGCTGGTTCGTTGTCTTCGATCACAAGCACATTGCCAGCATTGAGAGGGACAATTTCCTGAAAACTGTGTGAACGATAGAAAAAACATGTAAGAATGTGGTCTGTTCACTGAAACACGACAATTTAACTCCAAGGAAAATACAGCTTATTGTGATAAAGATTAAATGCCAGAATGTCAATAACACCCAAAGGACTGTAAGAAACCAAAAAAAAAGGAAATGATAACCTAGTGTTTTTTATTAATTCACATTTAGTACGAGTTTATGAATAGGGGGAGTGAAATGTACAGAAAGTATGTAAGTCTACCACTGTGTATTCTTCTATCAATTTTCAGCACCGCAAGTCTGCAACTACTAGTATTGACAGGCGTACATTTCAGAACTGCGAGAAACAGATGGATTACATACCCTAAAACATAAATATCTGAGTGGTCATCTGCAGGAATGAAGTCGTCCAGATTCAACTCAGCGGTAGGTGTGTTTCCTCCAACGTTCCATGTAGAAATAAATACCCTGTATAATGAGTGAATTTAAATAAAATTCAAGAGACCAATATGATTTCCAACTATAGAGTGACACATAACTGAAAATGCAAGTTAGGGTGTTTGACCTGACCTAAAAGATTCAATTTTTATGACACTTGGAGAACGGGCTAGAAAATGGCTCAGACGCATGCTCCTAACCTCACGCATGCTCCTAACTTCTGCTTTCAATTAGTCCAAAGAAACACAAGAATAAGCCAGTCAAATAAAACCAGCAGCATCGAAAGAGTGATCCAGTGCAGCAAAGTGCCAGATAGAAAACTACCTGAAAGTGGTCTGAATGGGGAAGAAGATTGTGCCTTGGAGGAGCTTGGTGCAGACTTAACTGCAGATGACAAGAGAACATGGAACAGTATCATCACGAAATCCTATTAACATGGTACCGAATTCGATACAAAATGTCAAAATGTGTATTCTTGAATCTTGAACACATGAATTCTAGCATATTCCATTGAACAGGCTGCTTCTTCGTAGCACTGATTATACGAAGTTGACAGAGGCTCAATGGACTTAATGAACTGACAACCAACTTAACAAAAAAAATTTGAACCCAGATGAACTAAATTTTGATAAAATTGCGCTCATCTATTTGTTACTTGTGATCACGTTGCTACAAGACAGTGACTCAATTATTCAGCTTCCAAAAGAATTAAGATTAACTACCAGCGGAGGAGCTTGGACGGTCTGTCTTCTTTGCGGCTTTCTTATCTTTCGCCCCAAAAATCTTTGGACGACAGCCCTAGAGTACAATGATGTAAAGCCAAATACTTAAGTCAATGATGTATCTCTGAAACTAAGAAAGAGGAGCAAAATGGGGTGAAACAAGAGACACATACCTTCATCTTTTCATCATCTGGAAACGCCATTCCCTTTGAAATCCGCCGAAAACAACCGAAGCTTATTATTCCCGGCTCAAATCTGACCGCATTATTTGGTAGAAATTAAAGATTGCCCGGTTCATCTCAAGGAAATACTAATTAGATGAACAGGGGGGTAACTCTGACATCAGCACAAATAAATAGGGGGAAAAAAGCATGTACATATACTTGTCCCAGAAAAAAAAAAGAGGAAATGAAGGAGAACATTTACACCCCAAAAGAACCTCCTGGATCTAAATTGTTCTTCAAATTCAAATTCAAATTCCTTCACTCTAGACGTGGAAGAACAGATATATGGCCCAAGCAAAAGTAAACAGAAGCCTTTCACATCAAAAACAGCCCCCACATCCACAGAGCACGCCCTTTCCAAAAAGTAGGCTACCTATCTGTATCTGACACACGGGATCTTGAGAATCCACTGCACATTACAGCTCGCAACAGAGAGACAGAGATGAACAGGAGAGAAAACAGCACAAAATGAAACAGAAATCACAGCAGTGCGGAGGCGAAGCAGGAACCCACCGAATCAGCAGCAGTTTTGCCGCCAACAGCAAATCCGGCCACCGCAGCGCCGCCCGGGAGAGCCGTGGACTGAATCCCTCCTCCCCCGCCAGAGGCGCAGGGCCCTCCTCCTAAATTAACCAAGAAGGAGCTAGCCCAACGACTCCTCCCCCTAACCACCGGGAAGGCCGCGACAAGAAAGGCGAGGCGGATAGGAGGAGGAAGAGGAGCGGCGGCGCGGAGACGACGACCCCTGGAAGCCGGGGCGGGGTCTGCAGGTGCGGGAGGAGGAGGCGCACGGTCGAGGGCACGGCGGCCATTACCTAGGCCGGCCCCGCACCCCCCACCCGGCCCGGAGAATTAAACTATTCTCCCCGGACAACTGTCCCGTACTGTGCACAGCAGCGGCGTCCTCTCCTCCCCTCCCACCCGAGAAAAAAAGAATTCACCTCCCCCTCCGCGGCGTTTGTTTACGGGCGGCACGACGCGGCATGAGCACGGCGGTGGTGGTGGACCGTGGGAGGGAATGAGGAGCTTGGGCGGCGCACGTGCGGCGGGATTGATTGGGTTTTGGCGCGCGGCGGAGGGAAGGTGGTGGTGGAGGCGGTTTGGGTTCGTTGGTTGGTTGGTTGGTTGAGTTGGCCTTGGAACCGCTCGTTGTCTGCTGCTGGTCAACGGTGGACACAAGGACAAAAGGGGAAGCTTATTTTATGTGGTGCCTCGTTGGTTCCGTGTCTGACACTTTCTTTACCCGGCCATGGCTGGCTTTTGGCTGAATCATTCCGTTTCCAAGTAGTGGTTCCTCACAAATCACAAACCAGATTAAAGAAACACCAATCTCAAACAATAGTGTGTGTACTTGAGTAGGTGGCGCCATATAGGGCGAGACTTGAGAGGACTGGTTCTGAGGAGCGACTCGGCAAGGCTCGGCACCCCGGTCTAGGGTTTAGGGTTTGTGTCCTGCTAAGGAGGCGAGACGGCGGCGGCTACCTGAAAATGGAATAAAGGTCTCACCGCCTAGCCCCTGTTCCGGCGGTGCATCTAGCATCGTTGTTGGACGCGTGGAGGTGTGTCTCCGGCAGATCTATCTTTCGTGGATTTGCTCGGATCCTGTTCGTCTACGTTCGTGTGTCTCCGGATTGAATCCTTCCAGCCTATGTTATTCTTCATTGGTGGCGGTTGCTGTTCTGGTACGCTGGTCCTATGGGGCATTAGCACGACGACTTCCCGACTGTCTACTACAACAAGTTATGCCTGACTCCGGCGATGGAGGGGTGATACCGGCGGCGCGTCTTCGGCTCGCTTCGGTGCTTGTAGTCGTCGCTAGGTGGTCTACGGATCTGAATGTAATTTTTATTTCTTGTGTTCGTTGTACTGCCATGATTGAAGATGAATAGATTGGAAGTTTTTTCGCAAAAATAAAATGCGCCTCCGAGCGACTGAGCCGGCATATCGTCTTGAGATTTTATGAAGTCACTGTAGTGGTGGGATGGGGATACCCTGTCCGCCTAACCATCCAACCACGGATTGGTTTGCGTAACAAACCGTGTTTACCTAGCGTGTTGGGCAGGCCTACAAGGTGAATCTAGGAAAAATATTCTAAGGCAATGTTTTTTTTAACACAATGCAATCAAACTCGCTCACATACACCAACATATACTCATCCTAATGAACGCAAGCACGCACGCACATCCTACCTGTGAGCATCTTCGATAGACTGAGCTGACACATCGTGATGAGATTGATGAAGTCGTCACAGACACCTTCGTAGCAGGATACCTTCTTCCACTTAATGCACATCGTCAGAAGGCCTGAAATAAATTCAGAAAAATGCGAGCACCAATGTCAAGCCTGAGACTTTGAACTCCGATGGGCTGGGGATACCACTGTCATCCTAACATCCTAATCATCCAACCATAGGTTGGTTCACCTCAAAGGCGATGTTTTCGTGGTGGTGGTGGTTGGGGGGGGGGGTGTTCTATGCAAGATGTTGTCTACGTGGCGGTGGTCAACTTGACACGCGCGCAAAGTCAGGCTGATTAGGACTACATAGGACCCAATGGTGAATGACTAGTACATTCAGAATCTAGATACGCAATTCTGAAGACTTGCGGGAAAATTGACACCTTCGTAAAGGCATTAAGACCTTCCATTGGTTTACTCTTTATTTTATCTTATTCAGAATAGAAGTGCATTTATTGATTAGTTGCAAAAAAGCATCAAGATTCAAGAACATATACATAGAAGATTTAAGTTAACATCCTATGAAAGTAACTCGCTGGATAAAAATCGCTCTCCTGGCAAGGGAAAAAGCGGGGCTTTGAGCTTATGCCAGAATATGAAGAATGAACCGTCACATTGGTTAGACATATATTGTCATGATTAGCCGCGTGCACACCACAAGGGGTGTAGACAAGCCCCATACTAGGGTGACACTGACACAGCGTGGGGCGTGACGGCGATGTATCTGGTCCATTTTTGCACTGTTTAACACTAATTGGCCTTGATTGGTCCGATTGTTGCACACCACCAACACCACCTCATGGTCCTTAGGTTGTCGAAGTGTATTTTCAACAAACGTCGTCTACTCCCTCCGTTCCGAAATATAAGTCTTTTTCGAGATGCACCGCGGACTACATACGGAGCAAAATGAGTGAATCACTCTAAAGTATGTCTATATACATCCGTATGTAGTTTGTAATGGAATCTTTAAAAAGACTTATATTTTGGAATGGAGGGAGTATATCACATGGTAATCCTCGCACCACGACGTTTTGCTCGCACGCTCGATGGGAATAGGTGGCATCAACTGACAGCGACAATTTTTTTAGGACGGTAGTGATGTATAAAAGGTCAATTATGGTAACCTTGCACATTAAGGCTAACCATGTGTCCACATCGCTTATTAGAATCTGAATTGGATGCTAACTAAAGGTGGGCAAATCGTGCACCCTTGTCTCTCCACAATACTAGCATATTCAGCCACCACTTATCACCACGCAAGGATGCCAGCAGAATGACATCAAATACGTTAATTTATCATTTATTTAAAACTGTCCACGAGACTAGGCAAGACAAATAAAGTATAACTCTTTTAGCTTCCCGTTAAAATTAGCCATACGCTGGTGATAACTAATTCTTCACTACTAGCTCTGGCTTTTAACAGTTTAAGTAGCGCCATGATCGCATCGGACGTGGATGTTTTTGTCAGCAATGGATGCATATCACTATCACTCGAGGAGTAGTGAAAGTGCACATAAGGTGGGGATGTGGCCATGCAATGCAATTTGCAGTCGATATGATTTGGGTCAGGGTGAGGCTATGATCTACCTACGGGTTAGCATCGATCGTCATCTCCATTATGTTACATTATTAAGACTGCGGCGACCTCTCGATCTATTGGGAATTAGTGGGGGTCCATGATGTCCGCGCATTTGTTTTAAGATGATGATGACAGTGATTTTTTTGTGCACGATAGATCGGATCCGGAGGATAACCAAATGAGAGTCTCGAATGCTTGTTCGATAATTCTTCATAATTACACCGAATTTGAGATGACAACGTTGTTCAATACGTTATCGTTTTCCAGAGCATCATGGGCTACATATTTTCTTCTGCATATGGGTTCCCATACGTAGGAAAAACAAGATCGAGGCTCGTTTGTGTGTGTGTGTGTACAGGCATTACTGTACGCTGAGTTTATTGGTGTCTTTTTTTATTCAGACAGGTGTGTTCAATTTGCGTTGCGGGCTGTACGGTACATGCTGTCCTCGCTGGTGCCCCCAGCACCCCATGTGGAGAGAGGAGCACAGGCGCACGGCACGGCACGGCACGGTACGGGGACGTACGTACGTACACACGCACGGGGCCGAGGAGAAAAAGACGGCTGATTTGCTGTCCCGGATTCGCACTTTGTTCATAAATAAGCAGGCGAATTCGCTGTGCAGACAGCAGTTGGTTTTTATTTTGTTTATTTTGCGGGAAAGACAGCAGCTGGTTTGCTGGCTGCCACAGGCTTTGCATCCACGGACAGCCGGAAATAGCGCAGACGCAGATGCACTTGCGCAAGTGTACGAAAGCTGCATGCATGGGTTATGAAATTCTGAACTAGTCTCTGTTCCTAAATATTTGTCTTTCTTAAGATCTCAACAAGTAACCACTCCACCCGTTTCTAAATATAAGTCTTTCCAATATAAACTACATACTGAGCAAAATGAGTGAATCTACACTCTAAAATATGTTTATGTACATCCGTATGTTGTCTATATTAAATCTCTAAAAAGACTTATATTTAGGAACGGAGGGAGTACATACGAAGCGAAATGCGTGAATCTACACTCTAAATTATGTATATATACATCTGTGTGTGATAGTTCATTTGAAATATCTGAAAAGACAAATATTTAGGAACGGAGCGAGTATGAAACACTTCTTCCTCCGTTCCTCCGTCTGGGTCTACCGGATCGAACGGTGACAGCGCCTTCGGT